CATATGTATGAATTAACTGTGCACCAACGTCTTAGAGGTGGACATGCATACATAGTCAAAATTAAGCGGTGACGCGCATTCGCACCACCAATGCCTGCCTTCCCTTGATCGCAGGTCAACAGTTGCCACTGCATTGGAAAAATACGGTGTTGCCTGTGAAATTTTTTCGCAAATTATAAAAATTACATGTACATACATATGTATGTATGTATATACATCCAAAGCGTGCTTATTGGTAAATGCGTCATCCTCTGTCCGTCTAAATGCATTTTTTATTGCTTGTCTCTTTGCTTTGTTGCACTGCTGCTGCTGCTTTCGCTGTTATTGTTGTTGGCGGCGCATTTATTAAAAATCAGTTAACAACATTTTAACACCTCCTCAATTGCAATGGCAAATGGCAAATGGCAATTGGCGACAGGCGACAGGCGACGAGCAACGACCGATGATTGTTGATTGGCGGCGGGTTGTCGCCTGTCTCAACATCCGTCCGGCCGTACAATTAGGCGGTTGTAAGGTTGACTTATTAACGTTTAGATATCGTATGTATGCATGTGTGTGCGTACATATGTATGTATGTAAGTACAATCGAGCGCCTTGCTGCCTATCAGTCTGCGCTTCCGACGCAGCCTGCTGAGGTGTGTGTGTTTTTGTGTACGCCGGTCTGCACGACGACCACTCAAAACCCCCTTTGCTCCAATGTTTGTTTATACAAATGCTTGTATGTGTGTGTAATTGTGTATGTGGAGCGATGAATGAATGAATAAATGAATGAACCGAAGTTGCGTGGTAAGCCATGGACATAACAACTAAACAACAAATCAAAATTTCAATACAAAACATCCACGAAAAGTCGAAAATCAATTCATTAATTTAACACCAACAGCCGCAAGCCAAAAAGCACCACAAAGCACACAACAACACAACAAAAAAAATGCAAAAGTGCGTAGCCGGTGCTTGGCACTTTAATGCTTGCTTGATATATAGCTTTATTACGATTCTTTTTCGCTGCTTTGTCTTATTCCATTTCATTTCGTTTATTAAATCTGGTTTGCTCAAACTGAATCAAATGCATAGTGGGACGAACGGTTGGTTAGTCGGTCGATTGAATGAATTGAATGGTTTGATCGGAGCGCAAACGCGCGAATGTGTGTGTGTGTGTATGTATGTATGTATATATAGTATGTATATGTATGTGTAAGTGCGTAGTTGCGTGGCCATCCGATTTCATTGATAGATTCGCTCATTCATAATTTAAATAAAAAAACGAAAAATCGAAAAAAGCTCACAGCGGAAGGTAATGATAATGGGAGAGGAAATCATTATTCGCGTGGCGAACCCGTTCGCCTACAGCAAAAAAAAAATAAATAAAAAAATTATACTACGCATGCATCCATACAACCATATGTATGTAAGTGCATATATATACTTATATGTATATTTATTTACTTTTATATTATGTGGAGCTGGAGTAAATAACTATGGTTACAATGCGACATCCCTCAGCGATAGCGAATATTTCTGTCTGGAAAACTTCTACAAAATCTGTCAGATGGACTAGCGTTTTTATTCCCAGAAGGCCAGAAAAAACACCCGCCATTCCACATATTGCCGATCCAGCGGGGCTAGGGGAATGCATTCAGGCAAACGTATCGATTACGCAATTTCCGTGGACAATCGACGGAGCAGGAGTTCGAAAATAGCACAAAGAAGAGAAAAGTGTGCCAGGGTGGAAATATTTCCTGGAGCATTGGTGCGCATAGAAATAATTTCCACTGGTGATTTCTTTTCGTCGGAGTTGAAAAGAAGGTTGGGATTATGAATATGTATCACTAATACGACGCCAATGGCGACGCAGCGTAATTAGAAATTTGCTTCTCATAAATGAATCCATAATTGAAATGTGAAAAGATTACCTAGATTCCTATTAATCGCTCAGTGTTTCATACTTAGCGCAATTATCGGATCAAGTCGGTAAAGGTACATACATATAGTGCTGCATAGATGGCAGACGGACGGACGGGCGCGGTCAGAGTATACAACAAGACACGCATCAATGATTTCTGCGAACCCCAACCAACGAAGAAAATGAGTTGAACGACAGCTGCTCTAATTGCAATTATCTTGTGTACCTATGTATAAGTAAAATATTTGTGTGTAGGGGCATAAACAACCCAGTTGATGCACCGCCTTGATCACCTCCTAAGCGATCAGGTTCTCAACTCGCATGAATTTTCACAGGAAATGTAGATTTGTTGGAGATAAACGTTTCTACACGATGAAAGGTGCAAACAAACAAACAAACAGATGTCTGTCCGAAAAGCAGCTCTAGCTTAAAAAACACGAAAAATTTAAACAAAGAATTCGTCTATGTGAAAGAAACGTGCGAGAAGAATAGCATTATGCACTTAATACTATACATTTGTGTGTACATACATACAGCGTGTGGAGTCCAAGAAAAGCTTGTGGAAAACTAAAGGTAGACACTTCGGCACCGTTGAATAAATAAGCAAACAAAAAAAAAAAAACAACCACAACGCCACCGAGCAATGCAGCACAAATGAAAAGAATGAAAGAAATTCCACCCGTTACGACTTTTGTGGGACTCTTACAAGTCGAACACAACACAACACGCATTTACAATAAAATCTCAAAGGAATGCATAGACCGACCGACCGACCAGTAGGCCGCCGTGTAAATGAAAATGGAGACCCGGCGGCGCACAGTCGTTAAAGACGCTTAAATACCAGCCGTTTAATCGCACAGCCGTTGGAGCGCTATGGCATCTAATCTCTGCGCATTTTAGTACTTACATACATACATATGTATGTACACATGTAGGACAAGACACCTCAGATAATGTGGCCTTATGCAGCTTATGCTGCGGAGACATATAATGGCCACATACGGGATTGCACGGAAATGAAATTAATAAGAAATTAAATTAATGTTTTAAAACGCCTGGAAGCATTGCCTTAAAACGATGGAAAGACGTTAGACATATGTAAGTATGTATGTAAGTATGTATGTACATACGTAAATGTGAACAAAAAAGTGGTTTTCTTTGTTGGCTGCTATTGAGCCGGCGGTAAGCGCTAGGAAAACCTGTCACGTTGACGTCTCACTGTCTGTCAAGTACGTACGGCAGCAAGCAACAACAAAACGTGAGGCTACGCACAGTGGCAATCAAAGGTACGTACATATATGCATACATACATATGCACTTACATACAAATGTATATGCGTTGCAATGTGAATAGACTTGCAGCGACTCCGCGGCAAAAAAACAATACATTTCTACATTGCTTTGGGTCGACTTCCTGCTGTGCACGCACATACATATGTACATACATACATACATACATTCGTTTGGGAATTCCCAATTTTCCGCATTGCTAATGTAGCAAGAAGCCCAACGTCGTTGTTGTGTGTGACCTATCGTTGGCACAGGTCACCGGTATGCAACTGCAGCTGCGTTTTTTGTTTTTTTCAATGAAACCGCTCTAACATTTGTGTGTCAAAAGTAACGCATGACATACATACACACATACAAATGTATGTAAAATGTATAAACCCATAGATGCGTCCGCATGCACGGCAGACCCGGGCGTGATTATTTTCTGCGCACAGGTATGTACCATTGTATGTATGTATGTGAGTAGCTCGAAAGTTGCTCAGCCAATGGTTGCGCTAGTAACTGCGTGGGCTTGTGGGAAAATACCGCAATTATGCTTGGCTAAAGAAGTTCATAGGAAGTATGTATGTATGTATCACATACAATAAGCGAAAATGTATTAGGGCGTACAAACATATGTATATACATAAATCAATTTTTTTTTGGTCGGAACTGGTCACAAAACAACGCGTACAGAAAACAACACTCAGCTAACATGCAATTCCACATATGTATGTACATAGATATGTATGTATGTATGTACTTAAATAGGTAAAATGCAAACTTCACGGGCAGGTATTGAACGAAATTGTTTAGGTCAACCAGGCAAAGAGACGCATTCGAGTGAGCGGATTCGATTGTTTTGTGGGCGTTTTGACTTAATGACAAAACTTTCCGATTTCTAGATGCCTTTGGGAATACCCAACTGGATTTGCTTAAGTTACCGCAGGTAATTCCGAAGGTAAGGTTTTCCCTGGGTTTCTTTATACTTCAATTGAATATGTGTGAATGTGTGTGTCCCGTCTCGCATTACATTGAAGAAAGATGGAGGTTCAAAAAATAATGCCGAATTTCCATTATGCATTATAATGGAAAAAAAAGAAAATTTGTTATTTAGAAAGTTCTGCAAGGGAACGAATTTTTATGCATGCAATTGAACATATTTTAATCTAAAACAATTCCCGTTTTAACTTTATTAACTCCTTATAAAATTTGTGTTGTGAAGAACACATATTCGAAAAAATACACACGGAGAAAACGGAGTGAAACCTGACCCGGAACGGCCCGACACGACCGAACCCGATTAGGCACGGATTATATGTATCTAATTCCACAAGAAATATTTACTTTAACGCAAAAATTAACCATAGCTATTATTTTTTACACAAGAAAATTTTTTTTTGAGAAAATTTGAAGCATACACTTAAAATATGTTTTAATTTTCTTAGAGATTTTAAAAATTGTCTCGCTTTCCATGCCAAAAGCCCATGCCTATCTCTAGAATAGATTGGTTGATGTCCATTTGCCATGGGATTTCCTATTTTTTTTAAGTTTTCAAACCTATATATGTTGAATGTCTAAACAGCTAAACTGCATTTTAAATCACATTCTTAATTTACAGAACCCAGCATTTTGAAAATCGGTTTCCTCTTCTTCTTGGTCACACATAAATCATTGGTTACCTCATCGCTTACTCACATATGTATGCTTTTGTGTCCTAAGTAATTACTCTCTTAGCAACTATGTCCCTATATACATATATATATATATATATAGTAGTTTACTAAACTAAAATGTTAAGAACTATGTATGTATGTAGTTCACTTACCAACTGGTCTATTATTTCGACGTGTTCCCTCCGGTTCTTCCACCATAAGCGGCGCATGCCGTCGACCACTAGCCAACGTTGGCGTTGTGCAAATCAGTATGGCAAATATGATGAATTTGTACAGCAGATTGAATGTTGGTACGGAGGTTGTTGTTGCTGTTGTTGTTGCAATAGAATCTGTTGCCGATAATGATGGTGTTGGCGACGCTGATTTTCCTGTAACAACGGCTGCTGCTCTTGTTGCCGTTGTTGTTGTTGCTATCGGTGTTGATGTGTGTAATGCTGGAAAATATGCTCTGGACGACGACGATGATGCAGCCGTTGCCACTGTTGTCTTTCTCGATTTTCGCATATTCATAGTGTTAGTGGTGTCTAGCTTGGTGGCAGCGCACGCGACGGCGCTCGTTCTGGATCTGGATGAACTGTCGGATGTGGTCGCGGTGGTCGTGGTGGTTGGTGTCGCACTCGACGTCGACGTTTTTGTACTGCTAATGATGGCCATTTTGTGTGATTCGTGATTTTTTAAGCTACTCTTATTTTAAGTATTATGAAGTATTATTATTATTTTTATTATTTTAATCGATATGTGGTCGTTGCTGTTTTCGCTGCTCTTCGCTGTCACTTTTTTGCTGTTAAATATTATTCAATTCTGCGCGACAATTGTGAAGATTGCACTTGTGTGCTCCTTAACACCTTTTACACTGCACAGTTTTTTTTTTTTTAATTTATAGCTTTTTACGTTTGAAAATTATTGCTCTTCAAATCTATAGGCGCACACTTGTAGGGGTATTTAGTAAAATTAATTGGCGATAAATACACTTGTGTAACCCCTATGACTGCTATGACTGCCAAGCGATCGTTTTGGCGCTTTCACAAAAAAAAAAACGAGGTTCACGCTACTTGGCCTAGTGATTGTCACAAAACAAAAATATTCCTACAAATACGTTCGCCGTCTGACATCGACTAACTAACTAACTGACTGACTGACTGAGTGAGTGAATGAATGAGCGTATAACAACTAACTCTGCGGCTGACTTTGTTGCGTACCGCGCGCGCGGATGGCAAGCAGGTTGTTTGTGTTGTCGATGCCTTTTTTGCTGTTGTTGTTGTTATCGTTGGTATGGTTAATATTGTTTGCTACGTCTTACTCTGTGTGCATATGTACTAAGTTGTCGTGTTGTTGGGCCGCTTTTGCTAGGAGGCGGTGGTGGATGGGTGGGTAGTGTGCGCGAGACGAGCAAATAATGCTCGTGCAGATTAGATAACACTTCAGCCAAGTTATACGAATTAATAAATTTCTGCTATTGCTTCTAGCTAAGCGCGTTTGCTCTATAGTATAAAAGTCCTCCGCAAACTTTGCTACGCGCGCTCTCCGGCGCTGACTCTGTACCCACACTACTTGCTGTACTCGCTTTATCAATGAATTATGTATACCTAAAACAAAATTTTTGTAGGTGGTTTAGGCCCTTTCGGAATTGTTCATTTGTTTTAGTTTTAATAGAAGATACGAATATTTTTGAAGTGTTCTTAGTGCTTTTTCTTTAGCGATTTGCCGTCGCTGTTTCGTACGCGTCTTCCTGCTTTTTTCTCCTGCGCTCTTTTGCCCGCACAAAATTTTTTTAATTATACAGTTTATTTTTAAAATATTTTCTTTAATTAAGCACAATGTTTTGCCACTGTGTTTTTCATGCACGATTTTGGTTCTTCGCGAGGCTTTGGTTAAAGAGGAGACAAAAAAATAAAAATAAAATGTGCATATTGCAAAAGTCTTTAGAAAAATTTTCAGCTGCTTATGGAAAAGAAAAGTTCGAAGCAAAACCCACCGACTATTTATGTATGTATGTTATTAACCGACTGGTTGACTGACGAGGCTTTTGCGATTCTTTGCATTTGAATAGCTTGCAGTAATTTGTATGCCGCCGGCATGCGTTTGCTATGTCTGGTATCTTAAATCCGATAAAACGCCTGAATATTTAGTTTTAGTTTTAGTTTTCGCGACCACTTCAATCTCTCTTCCGGTTAAAAATCATTTAAATGCACGCATTTATTATTCAATAATTGACATTTCACTTTTAATTGTTCACATGCAAAAAAAAATCGCTTAGCACGCGAATCATTTCAAGAACCTGCGTCGAGTTATTTGACTTTAATGGAAAAAATAAAACAGCGTTTAACTTTTATTAGACTTTATAATTGTTACGAATGTACGGACAGCACTCGAATCGATTTGTTTCACTTGACGTTGGTATCGCGTTTTATTTCGTCGTGTGCTCCTTTGCGAACGCTGCGGAAAACAGTGTCCACACACGGGATCGATCGCTGAATAAATAAACCCCTCAGCGAACGCGCTCAAATGAAAAACTCTTTTTTTTTTTTTGTTTTTTCTTCTACTAGTCGGTATAGTTGCTGTTTGTTGCGCTGTTGCCGCTGCCGTCTGAGTTCGCTGTCTGTCGGTTGCTTGCTTGCTTGGCCGCTTACGCTTATGCGATCGGTCGGTCCGTCGTCGATTAGTGTGTGCTCACTATGCTCACAAGAAAGCCAGCAAGATATTAAGATACTGGGAGAACTCAATCGCCACACCGCACACACACACTCAAGCTCACAGATATCGAGGGAGACTGAGTTGTTGCGCTGTTGTTCTGCTCTGTCCACCTTTTGCTTAACAACGCCGTACTGGGCTTCGCATCGCACTCGTAATGTACAGCGCTCTGTAGGCAAACATTAACGTTGCTGTGTTGGCCATACTTGATGAGTTTTTTGCCACAGTTGGGCAGTTAATGTTAAAGTAGTCGCTTCGAAATTCGTTTGGTGTTGTTTTAGTCTTGTTCGGCTTTAGTCAATTTAATATGTACCCAGTTTTTTCATGTGTTTGCTGCTTCGATTTTTAAATTTTTTGCTATTATTGCACGACCTTATGTTGCTGCTGCACAACAGCACGCTTCCTATACTGGTGAACGACATTGACGGTGGCTGGCTGTGTCCAATTTGGCGTCGTTTTTGGTCGCACTCAACGATATGAGCGAGCGCCAAGTTGGAGCAGTCTGCCACGACCGCCGTAGTAGTTAAACGAAGTGCTGCTATTCGTGGTGCATGTGCTCACGCTCCCATTCACGTTCGCATTTGTCATCACAATTGTAACGAATGAGAAACCACACGATCCAATAATAAGAACTACATATGTAGGTGCAGTGTTGCCAATGTGTGCGCAAAATTTGTTTCTCTAAATATTTGGTCGATCTTCTCCTTTAACTTGTGGTAATTGCCATAATGTTGTTACACAACTCTGAACGGCAGACGGGTTTTATGCGAAAGTTTTTCTTGACTGCAAATGCACGCAGAGATTTGCCATTGCATGCTGAGGAACGCCTGCTTTAGAAAAGCTTTTCGTTGAATATGACTCGAACCAGGATTCGAGTGGCGCCTCTAGCCACTCATACGACGACCGTTCTTTTTCGAAAAACACAAAACGCATGGAAACCTTTTCGAGAATGGAGAATGCTCAGTGGTTTTTTACTGATCGCAGAAGGATCGTCAATCGTAAGAACTTGCTAACCATAATACTCGTAAACTCGTAATCATAATATTTTGGCGCTAACACTTGCGTTAAATTTTCGGTCGAGCTTCTCCTTCAATTTGTGGTGTGCGTCCTTCTGTTATAACACAAATGGGGGGGATCACAATTTTACGCCGTCTCCGAACGGCATATGGTTTTGTGAGAAATTTTTTCACAGCGGAAATACACTCGGAGGTTTGCCATTGCCTGCCCAGCGCGGTGAGCGCTGTTAGATAAAACGTTTTATAATTTAGATGTTGCTCGGACCAGAGATCGAACCAAGGTCATGCGGAGTGGTAGTACGCACCTCTAACCACTCAGCCACAGCGGCCGTGCTTACCATACATCGATACTTCGAGAGCATAAAAAACGTGTCAATGAGCTTAAATATGCCCAACTGATATTTCAAATGCAAATTAAGAAATTATTATCTGAAAATCGACAGTTATTTGCCGACTGCCAATTAATTCTTCGCTACAAAACCGAACCTTAGTAAAATAAAAATCCGGCTTGCACGAAACCACTGTTAACGTATCTTTGGTAACAGTTGTCATCTAACAGCAGACTGTTAACAACTGTACAGCGTACAGTAACGTTGCTGCCGCTGCTAGCGTCTCTGTTCGTACATGCGTTGCTGCTTTGTTTAGTAACATGCTTTTAAATGCCAGCAACATGATGCCAGCGATGTTGTGCCGTCAAATGTTTATTTGTTGTCAAAAACTTGTGGCATGCACTTCAGACAAATTTATGTTATGGTCCAACATTTTTATTAATTGTAACAACAAAATTTCACAACAGCAACAACAACAATTTCAGTTTGTTGTTTGAAACGGGGAATTGAAGCATTAGCAATCACTTCCATTTAATTGCACCTCCTAAGCTCCTTCGTATAAATGTGTAATAATACGAATGCGGTATCTTTTGCACTAATGGTCCTTTACTACGAAAATCTAAAATTTTTTTATATGGAGAACATGAGTGACACCTTCAGCAAAAAAATTTGTCAAAAATCATTGGTAAGTCCTAGCTACCTCAGGCTTGCACTTTAGTATTCCAAAAGAGTGTGCAATATTTTAATGAAAATTTGCATGTGGAGGGGACAATGTTTTTTAGAGAGTGAATTGGGACTGTCGGGGAATCGCTAGGCGGTTACAGCGCCAATAAAAAAGTAAAAGAATTTGTTTACAGGAGATAGAAAAAAGACAAAAAATATAAATAAAAATATAACCTTAAGCAAAATATATAATATGTATGTATGTATGTACATTAGGGTGGTCCAAGAATGTATGGGAGAAAATGGCATAGAATCCATGAAAATCAAAATTTTTCAATCTGAAAACTCTGCTTCTCTTCAAAGGACTTCAGAGAATAATGCTCAGTTGTTTATTTAAACGTTTTTTTTTATTTAAACTATAGTGTTCATATGTATATTCGAGTTGGCAATGGTTTTAGGTATCGGAAGAAAATAATTCAGAATACAAATTTTTTTATAAAAAATAACAATGTACATATATTCAATATATACGAGTGTGTAGTATGTATGTATCTATATTTGATGCTTCTTTCAATAACATTTCTGTACACATGTACAACAACAGCAACTTCAATTGTCAACGTCATTATTAGCGCCCTCATTGCAATAGTTAACATCATTATTACCATTATCGCGCCAGCAACATCAAGAGTCAATTCGCTCCGTTGTTTGTCATCAGAGGCCGAAGAAAATAAAAACACCACAACGCCAATTTTTAATTGCACCGCCAATTAATTTGCATGTAAACACAAATTGATCACAGCAGCAGCAGCAGCAGCAGTATGAAGATGGGTAAGAAGCGGAGTAAGAGTAAGCAACAACAGAGAGAATCACAACAAAACCGAGATGCGGCAACAATACTTGTAAAAATACTCCTTGCACAGGGAATACACAAAAGAGGAATAAACAAAAAAACACAAAAGCAACACACACCGAATACTCGCGTTAATCGAGTGGCAACTAAATAAAAACAACAGCAACAAAAGTTGCAGGCAGCAGCAACTTGGGCTGTATGTTGTTGTTGTAATCGACAGTTGCTGCTTTTGTTGTTTTTGCTGTTGCGTTTGCAGACTCCGGCTTTTGGCCGTGTGTCGGTGATTCTGTACTTTTTTTGCTGCCTCATTTGCGATGCACATACATATTTATGTATGTATGTATAAACTGTCTATTGCCGCTCATTCGCGACTTGTATCCCATTTCCCCACCCCTTGTTGCTGTCGAACAAAACCTGCCCCCCAACGTCAGTGGCACTGGTAGTGGCGTAATGCTGCCGCATGTTGTCAATTGACTAATTTGCCGCAAAGGACCGAGTATCTGTTGAAGTACATACATACATATGTAGTTGAGAAGAAGCTGAAAAAAACAGAGGCAAGTGCCAGAATCCAAGTATAAGCCATCGCGACGGAGCTGGTATCCGTGCAGAATCGTGAGTGTAGTGTTGCTGGTATCATTGAAAGAACAAGTGTATAGCAGAGTTGTGGATGGTGGCTAATGCTGACGCTGATGGTGATGGCGATAGCGACGGAGACGGCGACGCTACGACGACGACGACGACGATGCCATATCGGCAACAGTGTTGAGACAGGACAAGTCGTTTGGCACTTGCAACACCTCCAATGCTCTCAAAATAAATAGTTGCCGTGCTTTGAGATTCCTTTGCGGTAGTCGCTTCTTTTCTCAAAATATTTTTTTATTTTTTGAGATTTATAAGTAATCCATAGGACAGCGTGGCTCCGAATAAATGTCGCACAGGTTTTTTTTTTGTTTTTGTTGAGAAATAAAAAGGGCCTTTATAGATTTTGCCAAAAATTACTTTATTTTGAATTTTGTAGATATTTTACTTTATTTCAATAAATTAGTTACCCGTGTAAACTTTGGGAGACTGAAGAAAATTGGAAATTAGAGAAGAAGCTTAGCGAAACTATTAGCAAAAATGTGGGCTAAATTATCAAATACAATATGTGTATGTACAACCGTTAACATGTTTACATTGACGTGTTTGAATGTTTATATGCACATACATTTGCACTTACTTACGTAAATATATCTGCTGACTTTTATAAACAAAAAGTAAAATGCGCCCATTCACACATGAAAAATGCGCTGTGTAGGATGTTTTTTTATTCACTACATTCCAATTGTTTATTTATTTAGTTTTTAATTTTCGTTCTATTACCAGAAAACCCCATTTAAGTATATGTAACGTACATACATATATTGTATATATACATACGTGTCGGACAAAACTAAAGTACAAAATATACCTAGCAAATGTTGCGTTAAAACGAGTTTGAAAAGTCTTGCATAGCTTTTAAATTTGTTACTAATTTAACAAAAGTAAACCCATTTTATTTCATTTTATGAGTCACCGGTTTCCACCGGTTTTCTTGAAATCTTGATTATTCGAATATTAAGTGAACCGAATTTTTTCGTCAAACAAACCGGTTTTTTTCATTTCACACAAATCTGGACCCCCAAAAAGTTTCGAGTTTTTCGAAGTTTTCAATGCTTTTTGCAGTTTAAGGGAAACCCCTAAATAGTTATATCGAATTATATCGTAGATTATTTGGCGATAATATTTGATTCAAATAAATGAATCTTTGACGCCTTCTACATGTTTGGCCGAGCTTTTCCTCCAATTTGTGATCGCTTCGTGATATTGTGGTACAAATGGTAAGATCTACACTTTTACTCCACCTTTGTAAATGCTTTTCATGGAACAAGTACACTTGGAGGTTTGCCATTGTCTGCCGGGGGGGCTACCGCTATATCAAAAAACTTTTGTTTAATGTTGCTGGGACCTCCCACACATCTAAGCACTCGGCTACGGCGGCAATAGCACTATTCAAATCCGAAAAAAGTCAGAAGAAATGCATTAAATTATTAAAAAAAAAGTTAAAATAAGACCAAACGTGAATTTTAATTTGTTTTACTTTTGATACAAAAACTTTGGAACTTATTTTGCTCTAATAATTTCTAAATAAAAGCTATATTCATTGTTAATTTAATTGCCATTTTTGGTCATGACTTCATACCCACATAAGCATTATCACTGTATATGTACTTTGAATACACACCTTCGCAGCAATTCAGATTCAGTGATCGCATTTTCGTAGATGTCACGAAAAATCGGACTACAATGGATTCTGCGATAGCCCCCAATATTTTTTAAAGACATCTTTTAGTCTACGTATATAAGGGATCGATATAAAAATTAAAATTAAATATTCTTCGAAGTTAAAAAATTAAATCCTAAAGCTCAGATAAACTCCCCGAACTAAGTGCTTATGTAAGTATGTACATACATACATGTATACGAGTTGGATAAACCATAATGTCCAATACCGCACGCTTTGCATTCCATTAAATTCATTCAAGGCAAGACTCGATTGAAATTCTTCC